AACTCAGGGCCGGATGGGAAGCCACCATGTCTCTCCTGCGTGCCGGGAGCGGTAGCTACAAACCGGGAGCGTCCGGGGTTTGCTGTTAGTTCGTACCAAGTTCATCCTCGTCACAAACCGCCGTAGTTAGGAGAGCGGGGAGACGGAGAGCGCGGTGCCGCCTTTGACTCGGGGAAGAAGAAAAAGGAACCAATATTGTGTATTTCAGATATATAAATATATATATAATATAAGAGTACAGATTGACATTTATATTTTTAACTGTGCCCGTTCCCTCCCCGCAGCGGGCCTCGCGCTCGTCCGGATGCTGCCCTGTGGTCGGCTGCTGTCACTTTGCTGTCGCTTGATGGAGGAGAGGACCAGGGACTGGCCGAAGAGGGGACGGGTGGGAGAAGTGTAGCGCAGAGTGTAATTACGCCGCTAGTTTCTTGAATAGAAGCAGTTGAATTTCAAAGCCTGATTCTGCGCCTGCTTTGTTCCTGGGGGTCGTGGATGTCACGAAGGCTTTGCCCGTCTTCCCTGAGGGATCCCCAAAGGGGAGGCTGGTGCCAGGGCTGAGCACCTCCCGTGGGTGGCATTCGCTCCTCTCCCTCGTTGGGGCTCACCTAACCACTGGGAATGAACGATACGGAAGTTTAATCCCCACCCCGTCACGAGGAAGGAAATAATAACCCCATCCACCGCCTGCGCTGCTCCGTCCCTGTCGTGGGGCCTGGCTGAGGGTGAAGAAGCACCCACGGGGACCCGGGGCGACGCTGGAATCACAAAATCACAGAATCACAGAATTTTCCAAGTTGGAAGGGAACTGTAGAGACCACCCAGCCCCACTCCCCTGCTAAAGCAGGACTGCCCAGAGCACATCCCTCAGGACTGCATCCAGGCGGGTCTTGAAAACCTCCAGAGAAGGGGACTCCACCCCCTCCCTGGGCAGCCTGTGCCACTGCTCTGTCACCCCAACCCTAAAGAAGGGTTTCCGTCTGTTGGAACGGAACTTCCTCTCTTCCAACTTGTGCCCATCGCCCCTCGTCCTGTCCCTGGGAACCACCGAGAAGAGTCTGGCTCCATCCTCCTCCAACCCCCCCTTTAGATATTTATAAGCAATAATAATGTCTCCCCTCAGCCTTCTCTTCTCCAAGAGAGGGGGAGAAACCTGCATCCCCACCCGCCCTGCCAAAGGCAGCGCTCGGAGGGTGTCTGTACCCTGGGATACAAGCCCAGAGGTGCGATGGGTCTTGTGGAATCATAAAATCAGGTTGGAAAAGACCCTTAAGATCATCGAGTCCAACCATCAACCTAACACTGCCAAGCCCACCACTAACCCATGTCCCTTCGCACCACATCTACACGTCTTTTGAACACCTCCAGGGATGGCGATTCCACCACTGCCCTGGGCAGCCTGTGCCAGTGCTGGACAACCCTTTGGGTGAAGACATTTTGGGCCGGACCTGGCCCGAGACCTGGGTTGAGCACAAGCTGGGGCACTTGTCCCCAGCAGCTTAAGTGCCCAGTTCCCACAGATTTCCCCCCCAAAAGCCATACCCCAGAGCAAGGTCAGGGCTCTGCCTGCCCTCGCGGGAACGGGAAAGAGCCCTCAGCAGG